ACAAGAAGTGGACTGAGGCTGGAGTCAGTGCATTAAGAGCCACCACACACAGACGGATCCTGGACATGGGCTTCAAATGCCGTATTTCTCTTGTCAAGCCGCTCCTGAACAACAAACAACGTCAGAAGCGTCTTACCTGGGCTAAAGAAAAACAGACCTGGTCTGTTGCTTAGTGGTCCAAAGTCCTCTTTTCTGATGAGAGCAACTTTTGCATCTCATTTGGAAACCAAGGACCCAGAGTATGGAGGAAGAATGGAGAGGCACACACTGCAAGATGCTTGAAGTTCAGTGTGAAGTTTCCACAGTCTGTGTTGATTTGGGGAGCCATGTCATCTGCTGGTGTTGCTCCACTGTGCTTCATTAAGTCCAGGGTCAATGCAGCCATCTACCAGGAGCACTTCATGCTTCCTTCTGCAGACGAGCTTTATGGGGATGCGGACTTCATTTTCCAGCAGGACTTGGCACCTGCCCACACTGCCAAAAGCACCAAAACCTGGTTCAATGACCAGGGGATTACTGTGCTTGATTGGCCAGCAAACTCGCCTGACCTGAACCCCATAGAGAATCTATGGGCATTGCCAAGAGAAAGATGAGAGACATGAGACCGAACAATGCAGAAGAGCTGAAGGCTGCTATTGAAGCATCCTGGTCTTCCATAACACCTCAGCAGTGCCACAGGTTGATAGCTTCAATGCCACGCCGCATTGAGGCAGTAATTGCTGCAAAATGGGCCCAAACCAACTACTGAGTACATATGCATGCTTATACTTTTCAGAGGTCCGATATTGTTCTATGTACAATCCTTGTTTTATTGATTGCATGTAATATTCTAATTTTCTGAGATTGTGGATTTGGGGTTTTCATGAGCTGTAAGCCATAATCATCACAATTATGACAAATCACGGCTTGAACTATCTTGCTTTGCATGTAATGAGTCTATCTCATATATTAGTTTCACCTTTTAAGTTGCATTACTGAAATAAATGAACTTTTGCACCATATTCTAATTTTTCAAGTTTCACCTGTATTTGTTGATATTAAAATCAGGGAACAATGTACAAGAGCAGAAGCCCTAGCAAGTAATCACAATCCATATTCTACTGATCTATTTTCAGCAAAATTAATTCTGATTGGTTCAGTTACTACACTTAGGGATGCACACACAAAGATTACTTGTAGAGATGAGCGAATTTCTCAAAAATTCGATTCGGCTGATTCGGCGAATTCCAGTATGAAATTCGATTCGATGCGAATTAATTCGCTACGAATTTAACTTATTAAAGTACCTTTAATTTAAATGCCCTTGGAGATGAAAACAAATGGAAACAAATAGATACAATGTTTCAACCGCTGTATGGAGTGAGTGTCCCAGAACTGTCAGAAATAGTCTATTTCTGACAGTTCTATGACATTCCCTCCATACAGCGGTTTCAACCGCTGTATGGAGTGAATGTCCCAGAACTGTCATAAATAGTCTATTTCTGACAGTTATGGGACATTCACTCCATACAGCGGTTGAAACATTGTATCTATTTTTTTCCAGAAATGACATTCTGCAGATACACTTAGAGGAGCGCTGCAGATACACTTTTTGCCGGCTTGGAATTATTCTTATTTTCATCCTACTTCTTCTTCTTCTTCTTCTTCATCCTCATCCTCTTCTTCTTCTTATGAGGATAAGAAGAAGATGAAGAAGAAGTAGGATGAAAATAAGATTAATTCCAAGCTGGCAAAAAGTGTATCTGCAGCGCTCCTCTAAGTGTATTTGCAGAATGTCATTTATGGAAACAAATAGATACAATGTTTCAACCGCTGTATGGAAGGAATGTCCCAGAACTGTCAGAAATAGTCTATTTCTGACAGTTCTGGGACATTCACTCCATACAGCGGTTGAAACATTGTATCTATTTGTTTCCATTTATGGAAACAAATAGATACAATGTTTCAAACCGCTGTATGGAGGGAATGTCCCAGAACTGTCATAAATAGTCTATTTCTGACAGTTCTGGGACATTCCCTCCATACAGCGGTTTCCGGCAAAAAGTGTATGTGCAGAGTTCCTCTATTCTGCAGATACACTTAGAGGAGCTCTGCAGATACACTTAGAGGAGCTCTTCACATACACTTTTTGCCGGCTTGGAATTATTCCTACTTCTTCTTCTTCTTCTTCATCCTCATCCTCTCATCCTCTTCTTCTTCTTCTGAGGATGAAGAAGAAGAAGAAGAAGAAGAAGAAGTAGGATGAAAATAAGATTAATTCCAAGCCGGCAAAAAGTGTATGTGCAGAGGTCCCTCTAAGTGTATCTGCAGAATAGAGGAACTCTGCACATACACTTTTTGCCGGCTTGGAATTATTCTTATTTTCATCCTACTTCTTCTTCTTCTTCATCCTCATCCTCTCTTCTTCTTCTTCTGAGGATGAAGAAGAAGAAGAAGAAGTAGGATGAAAATAATATTAATTCCAAGCCGGCAAAAAGTGTATGTGCAGAGCTCCTCTAAGTGTATCTGCAGAGCTCCTCTCTAAGTGTATCTGCAGAATAGAGGAACTCTGCACATACACCTTTTGCCGGCTTGGAATTATTCTTATTTTCATCCTACTTCTTCTTCTTCTTCTTCTTCTTCTTCATGAGGATGAGGAAGAAGAGGATGAAAATAAGAAGAATTCCAAGCCGGCAAAAAGTGTATGTGCAGAGCTCCTCTAAGTGTATCTGCAGAGCTCCTCTAAGTGTATCTGCAGAAATAGAGGAACTCTGCACATACACTTTGTGCCGGCTTGGAATTATTCTTATTTTCTACACTTTTTGCCGGCTTGGAATTATATCTTATTTTCATCCTACTTCTTCTTTGCCGGCTGATCGGGAAATATTCGATTCGCGCACCCCGAAGTAGGCAAAATTTCGGATTCGACGCGAATCGAATATTTCCTGAAATTCGACTCGAATTCCGGTTCGCCTGGTTCGATTCGCTCATCTCTAATTACTTGTACTATGTACAGAATAAGACTAGGGGTCTACAATATTGAATTGCATTAAAATTACTATTGTGTTCATTAATCCTTAGGGCTAATGCACACTGGTCTTAAAAAAAAAAAAAAAAAAAAAAAAAACGCCTTTACAGACATATTAGAAGAGGTGTGTTTACAGACTGAAGAAAAAAACCAACACCAGCACATTCAGGAGAGGAACTTTTGAGCAGGAAAAAAAAAACAAAAAAAAAAAACGCAAAATGTGTATAAATACGCACAAACACTAGACATTTTAAGGTGTGTTTGCATGTTAATACATTCTAATAGCCAGAATAAATTAAAATTCTGGCTAACAGTATGCATTAATGTTTCATGGGCAAATGGGCATAATTGCGCATAAACACGTGTGCTTTAACCGTGTTTTTTTAACTGCTTCTTCCTACCAGAAGTAAAAGGCATGGGTTCACACTTGTGCGGTGCGGCATATTGTATGTGATTTGCACAGGAACCGCACTCCTGTGCAAATCACATGTGAATTAATTTTGTATGGCTCAAATCCCACCGCAATCCGACCGCATCCACACCAAAAAGGTACTGGACCCTTTTTTTGGTCTGCACTAGAATCAAATTGCATGGGCATTCATACCCATGCAATCCGATTCTGCACATCGCAACACATTTTGCGGACCAATTTTCGGGGTGTTAACTTAACATACACACCCGCAGCGGTTCGCATGAACGGGGTGCGATTGTGATGTGGTGTGGAATTCACACAGAAACTGCTGTGAATTCTGCACCCCATCAATGTGAACCCAGGCTAAAGGTAAGATATGCAGCAGCTGAAAACATTCTGAAAATACTAGTTTGATGCTTAGGAGTTTTGTCGTCCTTCTGACTCCCCTGATATGCTCACCTGTTCTAGGTTTGTATTAGCATTTTAAGAAGGAGGTCAGCAACGGCAACATCCATATTTCACGACAGGTTGTCTGAACTGTTTTACTAGAGGAGAGAAATGATGAATCACTTTTGAATTTTTGCATTGCATGGTGCTGGAATTTTGGATAACAGACCTAGGGGACAATTCACTAAATGTTACCGCATGTGAGACCACTGTCACTTGACTCATTTACATAAATTATCTAATGTGGTAACAAAATGTCCAATTCACAAAAAAAAAAATTATGATTCTGCTGTATTTAACGCAAAAATTAAAATGTGTTGGTAAATACCGCAAAAAAAAAAAAAATATGCGGTAAGCGGTTAGGGGCAATTCACAAACAGAACAGAAAGTAAAAAAATATGCAATATTTATCACCAGGGTTTTGCTGGCGGTATCACATGCGGTATTTTTTCAGATGCAGCGACCCCAACCCCTAGTGGTCTAGTATGGATATTAAGGGGAACCCCAAGACAAAATGTAAAGAAAAACGGTGTGGGACATTTTTTTTTTATTCATTTTGGTGTGGGGTTCCCCCAAAATCCATACCAGACCTGAGGGCCGTTTTTTTTTTTTTTTTTTCTCAACTTTGGTTTTTCTTTAAAGTCCATACCAGACCCAAAGGGCCTGGTATGTATTGCAGGGAAGCCCCACACTATTTTTTTCATCATTTGTAATTACTGACATGTTTTGTTTACATTCAGCTGTTACTGGGACACCCACTGACAGCTAATAAGTTACCGTATTTTAAGGTGTATAAGGCGACTGGGTGTATAAGACGACCCCCTAATTTTCCAGTTAAAACATAGGTTTTGGGCTATACTCGTCGTATAAGACTACCCCCCTTCTGAGGCAACACCATTTAACCCCTAGCCTAAAGGGCAATTATACCCACTCCCCCCCCCCCCCCCCCCCCAGGCCAATTTTCAGCTTTCAGCGCTGTCACACTTTGAATGACAATTGCGCGGTCATGCAACACTGTACCCATATGAAATAGGTGGCACTGATGGGCACTGATGAGGAGGCACTAGTAGGTGGCACTGATGGGCATTGACAGGCATCACTGATGAGCACTGAAAGGCAGCACTGATACATGGCACTGATAGGCGGCACTGATAGGCGGCACTGACTGGCACTGTTAGGTGGCACTGACTGGCACTGAAAGGTGGCACTGATAGGTTGCACTGACTGGCACTGATAGGCGGCACTGATGCGCACTGATAGGCGGCACTGACTGGCACTGATTGGCGGCACTGATGGGCATTGACAGGCATCACTGATGGGCACTGAAAGGCAGCACTGATACATGGCACTGATAGGCGGCACTGACTGGCACTAATAGGTGGCACTGATTGGCAGCACTGATAGGTGGCACTGACTGGCACTTATGGGTGACACTGAAAGGCAGCTCAGATGGGCACTGATATGTGGCATTGATGTGCACTGGTAGGCACTGATATGTGGCATTGATGTGGCACTGATGGACACTGACAGCTGGCACTGCTGGGGCTACACTGATCATCAGGGCACACTGATCATCAGTGCCCTGATGATCAGTGTACATGTCCCCTCCGCAGAAAGCCGATTACCGGCTCTCCTCTCCTCTCGAGCTGTCAGCGTGACAGCTCAAGAGGAGAGAAATGCCGATAACCGGCATTTCCCTGTTTACATGTGATCAGCTGTGATTGGACACAGCTGATCACATGACCGAGCCGACATCTTCGGCTCTTTCCGTGATCGGTGATCGCTGTGTCCGAGGGACACAGCGCATCGCCACGCATGCGCGGAGAATGGGAGGACGTCATATGAGCCAATCACGGCAAGTGATGTATTCTATTAATGAATACAGAGCCTCCTCGGATTGGCTGTGTCAGAGAGGCGGGCTGATGATGTCACAACTTCAGCCAATCCGAGCAGGCTCTGTATTCATTAATAGAATACATCACTCGCCGTGATTGGCTCAGCGCAGTACACTGTATGTAGCTGAAGCTACCATACAGTATTACCGCACATCCAGCGTTCTATACCCGGCGTATAAGACGACCCCCAATTGTTGACGTATGTTTTTAAGTAAAAAAAGTTGTCTTATTCGCCGGAAAATACGGTATCTGTTGTTAGGAGGCTGCGGCTGGCTTCCTTATCAACCAGCTAACGTGCAATAAATTACCATATGAAAATATGCGACAATTACCACAATAATGATATTTTATCACATGAGTTATTAACCGCAAAATTCTTAGTGAATTGCACATTTGCAAAAAATATATTGCGTGTGTTATTTTACCACATTTGTTCAGTTATTTAACTCTTAGTGAATTGATCCCCTAATCACATATGTACTGTACCTACCAAACTATTTTTAGAATCATCTTACGGTTTCACTTTTAGTAAAATATTATTCTGATTCCATTTTGATTTGAGCCTTTACATAATTTGACAAAATATTTTTTAAATCTAAGCATGTTTTATGCATAATGTCATAACGGTATGTCATAATTCTGTAAAATTGTACACATTCTCTGAGCACAATAAACAGTTTTAAAAAAAAAGTACCATGGTGTGGCGTGCTTTTATAAAAAGCTAAAATGAACATTTATATTTAGCTTTTCATACCAGAAAATGAAATAAAAAGATACATATTTAAAAATAAAACCCAGGAGAAAGCCCAGTTCTCTGAAAAAAAACATGGCAAAGATCACTTATTGTGAAAAATATCAGATGCAAACTGACACATCCATAAAATCTCCTCTGGAAAATTGAGATGTAATACACGTCTGGTGCTTCACTAGCTAAACAGCTCTATTCTATCCACTACATTTCTACCCTGACTAAATTGTATATAAGACAACAATTGGTGCTCACGTAAGTGTATTTAGCACATTTACTTATCAGTGGCGCTTGTATATTATAGTTTAGATTTCCTCTCTCTTGCTAGGCAGGATTAATGTTTCTTTTGTTTAGTAGTGGTAAGATGCTTTTAAAATACAATTACACTTGAATTCTCATTTGTACTTTATCATTCATATTAACATACTCCGCCTTAGCTATGAATGACCTGCTTAGTCTCACAATGTACTGTTTCATTAGTTAAAATTCATTCAAATATATGCAAAAGGCATAATTCTGGTAAGCCCCTACAGACTATCCTGGAAGGTTGGAAAGCAGAAGGAAGTGAATTCATTTCTGATAAAGCATCTTGATCTCTTGCAGATTGAAGCAGCACTTATAGAAAAACTACTATACTGCTGGCATCTAACAGTCATTAACGAAGTACCAATTCACCTTGGAGAAAGCATAGCCACAGAAGGCTTTTTCAAAACAAAGAGAAGAAGAATGGGCAGGTGTGAATGCACCACAGACATTGAGAGCCTTATTCTTTAATTTTGGCTCAAGGCAAAAATCTGGTAACAAAGACTCCTGATTGCATCACCCTGTAAAAAATGTTTCTTTCTGTTACCAGAGGTAGGCATAGTAGAGGTAAAGGTAGATTCATCTGCAAAGGCAGTTTCCATAATGTCAAAATGTAAAATGTTTGCATATTGAAGGGAACCTTACACCCCAAAACCAGCCAATATTTTTTATTGTCGCTAAGTCACCATTAACCACTTGAGCTCCAGAGGATTTACCCCCCTTAATGACCAGGCCTCTTTTTGCCACTCGGCGCTGCACTAATTCAACTGATAATTGCACGGTCATGCAATGCTGCACCCAAACAAAATTTACGTCCTTTTTTTCACACAAATAGAGCTTTCTTTTGGTGTAATTTGATCACCTGTGCGCTTTTTATTTTTCACGCTATAAAACAAAAAAAAAGGCCAAAAAGTTTGAAGAAAAACAATATTTTTTACTTTCAGCTATAAAAAATATATAGTAAACTCAAAGTTGGTTATAAATTTAGGCCAAAATGTATTCTGCTACATGTTTTTGGTAAAAAAAATTCCAATAAGTGTATATTGATTGCTTTGTGTGGAAGTTATAGCGTCTACAAACTATGGTATAAAATACTGCAATTTACGCCATTTTTCTGCTATACAGCGCTGCGCTAGTTAAACGGACAATTGCGCGGTCATGCAATATGGTACATAAATGGGGGGTACTGACTTGGGGTCACTGAGATCCCCAAAAACACTAATACAGTGATCAGTGCAAAAAAAAAACACTGACACTGTACTAATGGCAATGGGGAGGAAGGGGTTAACTTTATTTTGCAGGGAAGGGTTATAGGAGGGGAGTGTTTTACTAGGGGGCGGGGGTGTGTACTGGACGGGACAAGGCTGATCGAGAAAGAGAAACTGTTCTTTCTCGATCAGCTCATCCTCGAGCTGACAGGGAAATGACAGACAGCACAGCTACTGCAGCTGTGCTCTGTCACTGTTTGCCGCCGATCGCCAGGACATAGCCGCTAAGGAGCGGCTGTGACCTGGCGACATCTGCGGAGGTGATCCGCAGGACAGATAGGGCGGCAGCGTGCCTCGCGCATGCCCCCTATTTGTTTACAAAACACACGTTTTTAAAACGTGGTTTTGCCTGCGAGTGCCGCCCTGCCGCCGTATATGTACAGTGGCTGGGCAGCATGTAGTTAATAAATACAATATTCCTATCTTAAGGAAAGCTTTAAAGTGATAATAAAAAGATTCAGATTTTTTTGTTTTAAAAACATAAAATGTCAGTTACCTGTGCTGCGTAATGGTTTTGCACAGAAAAACCTTGTTCCTCCCCTCTGCTGAATTCCCCCAGAGCAAGCAGCTTGTCCCGAGCCACCTCTTTCTGTCTATAAGACACAGAGTGTGGCTCGGCCCCATTCCCTCCTCACTGGCTGTGACTGACAGCAGTGGGAGTTAATGGCACCCACTGCTGTATTTGAGCCAATGAAGAGGGAGAGACACAGGAGAGCTGCTGCTCTCGTGCACATGACTGGATCAAGATCAGGCTCAGGTAAGTATTGGGGGGCTAAGGGGGAAGCTGCACACGGAATGTTTTTTACCATCTTACATAGAATGCATAAAGGTAAAAAACCTTCAGCCTTTAGAACCTGTTTAAGTTCATATTTATAGCTTGTTACTTTGGCATACTTGGTAGCAAAATCAAAACAAGCTATCCTGTACTAATGCACTGCCATTACTTGGCCAGGGGATTGATCAAGGCTGTCCAGTGCATCCTTCTAGCAAGTCAGTCTTTCTGCCATGTTCCTAGTAAGCTGCCAAACTATGGTCAAAGCAGAACCAATAGAAAAACCATGTGTACTGTATAATCCCATTTAATAGTCAGTAACTAAGTACTACTTCACATTGGAGAACTGGAGAAAGCAAAAAGAATGTGAAGGGGCAGGTGCTGATGCACCACAGAAACTAATCTGGCAAGAAGGAATCTCCAATTACATTATTATTACTATATTACACAGGTCTGCAACTAAAAAGCTGTTTGATTATTTTCATCTAATTTCCATGTATTTTGGTGTGCTGAAAACGAATACAATATTGAAAAAACTCCTAGACATCATGATTTGCGACAAAATGCAAAACTGTCTTCACATTTATCAAATTTTTTAAATGTTTGGTATTTTTTTATATTATGGGTTTTTAACCAAATTTAAAGTCCAAATTACTATTAATTCACATAAGTGCATTTAAGATATAAAATGCCAAAAAAAACCTTAAAGGGCTTGTCCGAGTTATGTGAAAAAAAATATAGCACTGTAAATCTGATGGTCAGCAATATATACATAAGCTAAGCAAGTTTTAGGGAAAAACAATTCTATTTCCTCATTTCCCTAGTTCTCTTCTGGCCCTTTGTTGTTATTTGCAGGTAAACAATCTGCCCCCCCCCCCCCCCCTGAAAGGGGTTTGAATACGAGTGCTGCTCTGAGTGACACGTCTGACTACTGGGATACTCAGCAGCATGCTCTATGTGTAGGCCTCAGCCCTGAGTCTGTGCTTCTAATGGTAGAAGGGGTTAATCTTTCCTGAAGAATCCAGTGGGTGGGATACCAAATACCCTTGTTTTCTGTGTCTATGGGACAGTGGAGACCGACAAAATCACTGGACCAAGAAGAGTTGGCAGCCGAGGGTGCTAACAGTCGGTGAAAAAAATGTCCTCCAAGAAACTTTGGTACCTTCCAATAAAGTGCTTCTACCACCTCTCCACATAAAATTGGGATTGATGAAGCAATTCGTAAACTCACTTCCAAGAGATGGAGAATGCTTCAAATACTTGGTCACCAAGTTTCCAGGCCTGTTGGAGGCAAAATAGAAGGAAGGTGTGTTCGTCGGACAAGACAAAAGGCTTATGGTTGATCAAGAGTTTGTCAATACCATGACGGATCCTCAAAAAGAAGGGTGGATTGCATTTAAAGAAGTCATACAGAAATTTTTAGGCAATAACAAAGATCCTCACTACAAAAAGATCGTCGGACGAATGCTGAAAGCATTTCAAGCTTTAGGTTGCCTGATGAGTTTGAAAGTGCACTTCCTCCAGTCCCACCTTGACTACTT